AATAAAATCTTAGTGGGATATGAAAAAGGCAGAATATACGCAGACGACACTTCGTGAAGGTAGAGAGGTTGTTTCTGAAAGACCCTCCCAGCTCGAGAAGAGCACTTCTCTTGAAAGAAACACACAACTTTAATAATAATTTTCAAATATCCATAGCATAAACTTTTTGATAACCAGAAAAAAAAAAACAAAAAAAAAACTAAACCTTGCTTAGACACATGCGGGTCTACACTAAAGGTGATAATATATTTTAATGATGTATTTAAGAAAATTTGGACAACTTTAGAAGTCATTAAGATGGTTTATTAAAAATATTAATTTTGAAATAAAAACCCAATTTTCTAGAATAAAAATAAAATATAGTAGTATAACAATAACTACAGCAATTTACCTGATATTGCAGTTGTGCTTCAACCGTTTTTGGGGACTATTAAGAACCTAACTACTTAGAGCTTTGAAAAATGAAAACCAAATATTGTGCACTTGGTTAGGGAGACCATTGTTCTACTTAATCTTGTACTTGGCTAGTAATTGGAAGTAACACTTCAAAGTTTTAACCCCCCCCCCCCCCCCAAACACATTCCATGCAAATCTGAATTAATTTGAATATTGAACGCTAAAAAAAAAAAGATATAGCAAAACTAGTATGAATGTGGTGTTAACTATCTTTGAAGTACGAAACAAAGATATATAAAAGTATGGTGATTATTTTTTTTAAAAAAATTTATTCACCGTATAAAAACTCTAAAATTCGTCTCTCCTCCAATAGAAGTTCCATTCAATTACTACTATCAGGTTCTAACTTCTACGTTGCTGAATGCTGACTTTAGTCCACAAATTACCATTAAAATTTTCTAAAATATTACTGTTAGGTTCTATGTTTACATTATAGGTTCTACAAGCCAAAAGAGAAAACTTTGCCTCAAAAAGAAAAATGCCTTTAGTTTATTGTAATAGAACATTGATTAACCAATCCACCAAGTAATGGAAATTTCAAATAATTATATATTATGAAGTTAATTAGACTTGGGAAAACCCTAAGAAGACTTGCCACATACTAATCTTTTGAAAATTTGATACAAGTAGAAGCTTCTACTAAGAAATATTCAACACAAACTCCCTCTATAAATTTACCTCTCATTTTGACACAAAGTGCATATTCACCATTCTCTTCATCCACATACAACAACAACAATATTAATTTTGGTATAGAGAAGATGGATTTGTTCAAGTTTAGAGCTCATTACCTACTTCTTCTTTTGGTTTTATTACCAATGTTAGCAGCAAAAGAGGATGGTATTCCTCCTTCTCTTGCCCCTTACTTTGGTACATCTCTTTCCTTTACTTAACTATTTATTCATATAATTTTTTTTTTCTATTGGCCATTTTGTTATGAATTTTAGAGCAGTTCCAAATTTATACATATACACAGACCCTAAGGCAGACCTAGTATAGATATTTTTGATTCTGATAATATGAACAAATTTCTAACTCAATCTCGTAAAGTTCAAATCTTGAATCTGTCTGTGCACAGAAACAAGAGCACTAGTCCATATTCTGTTAATGTTTTAACTATTTATTTTTTCTAATTACTTCTGAACTTTCTGAATGATCTGCATATAGACAATATATGCAATGATGTGGAGTGTGGGAAAGGAAGATGTGAGAAAGCACCAGGAAAGCCATTCAACTTCATCTGTAAATGTGAACGAGGTTGGAAGCGTACTCACCATCACCATGATGATGATGACGACGATGAAGATGATCTTAAATTTCTCCCTTGCATTGTTCCCAAGTGTCAGTATAGTGAAACTCCTATCTAATAGTTTGGTACATAGTAGGAAAGTTGAATCCAATTTTTTGACCAAGGGCTGGTGATTATGTGTTATTGCAGGTTCTCTTGACTATTCTTGCTTACCAGCACCTCCACCAGCTCCATCAATTCCACACAACATGTCTTTCTTTGATCGTAATTGCTAAATCTTCTCTTCATACAATTTTTGTGTATGTTCTATCTAATTTCTTACTAAACCCCATGACCTTTTTCTTGGTTTAAGCTTGCTATTGGATTTACTGTGGGGAAGGGACATGCACAAAGAATATAACACATGGACAAACATGCCAGTGCAAGTCTGGTTATTCCAATCTTCTCGACTTTCCAGCTTTCCCTTGCTTCAATGATTGTAAGTAGAAACAACAATTTAAATGTTGAAATTTCACATAAAAATAACATCACTAGCTAATTCAATATTTGACTTTTAAGGTGCCATTGGATCTGATTGCCAAAAACTGGGAATTCGCCTTTCAAATTCCACTGCATCATCTCCATCTTCATCGACACCATCTTCAATTTTTAATACCAATAGAGGTGGTAATGACAACAATGGAGGTAATAACTACCACCGTCAATAATTTGGATTCAATTTACAGGACAAGAGGATATAACCTTGTATATGTTCCATAGGAAACAAAAACAGTTAATGGTTATGTAATTCTAAAGGTCAAGTTGAGGAAAATAAAATCATATTACTACTTCTGCTAACCAGAATATAAGACCGTCTCACCATTCTAATTCTTCCATACTGGCAGCTACATCCATTATGCTCAAGAATTCCCACTGGATGGCTATCTTTCTGGCATCAGCAGCTATGGCTTTACTCAACTAGAAAGAGGTGATGGTGTTTTGCTTCGCATGAGAGATATAAGCTTGGTGCTTCATCTATACCAGCACATTGTACTTCATTCATTTCCCAGATTCATATGTACTATATATATTTAATAAACATGTGATAGTGTTGTCATTTCTGTACAGAGTATATTTTGAATATTGTTTCGGTTGTATTTTACTTTTCTTCGTATAGCCTTCAGCTTATGAGGGTGTGGAGGTCGCGGATTTAGGAGAGAAGACTAGAAGTATATTAGTTTCATGCTTTGTCTCTCCTGCTAGTAGCATTAGTATTATTTTCTTTATATTATTATTTAACTATTTCCGGATTCCTCACACTTAATTTTCTTATACTACGTGTTGTCTTCTATGCCTTGGCTTTCTTACTACCCTACTGTTGTACTGCTTATATTTCCATTAATGTTGTGTTTTTGCTTTCCTTGAGCCAAGACCCGAGGATATATCAGAAACAACCTCTCTGCCTGCCAAGGTAGCAAGGTTTGTGTAACTCTACTCTCCATAGACCACAAAACTCTACTGGGTACACTGTTGTTCATATAACGTATCTTGTGTAGATGACTTGCTTCGTATGAGTTAGGTATGATGGATCCCATTTCCATTATCCTAATGCATTTGGACATCAGTAGGAGTATATCACATTCCTAACTAATTTCAGAAATATGCTTGCGCACACTGGAAAGCCCCAAGTCAACCCCTCACCATCGGGACATTGACAGGATTTTTAAGCCTTGTGATCCTCAGCATAATACATAACAATGAAAATGTTCAGAGACATAAGTGTCTAACATAAGCTGTATAAAGGTTTCAATGGAGTTTATAATGGTCATGACCATTCCACCCATAACATTGAAGTTCTCCTGTTGCATATTCAAATTGTTTCACATGGAATTAGATTCTAACTCAGTTAACTCACTCTTCTATCCTGTTGCATATTCAAATTGTTTCACATGGAATTAGATTCTAACTCAGTTAACTCACTCTTTTACCTGTAAGCATGCTCTCAACCAATATTTCTCTCTACTTCTAGCATAAGTGTACATTCTTTCTACACATTTTGTTACTCTGATCTCTCGGTTTCTCTGTATGCTCAATAAATCGAGTCATGAATTATTACAAACACATTCTTTAACCAATTGAGGCAACTCACTCTATCCCAATCCTATTTTTCAGCTTTTATTGAATCACTTGGGACTTCACAAAAATAAAGCATGTACAAAAATAAGGGTAAAAAAGAAGAAATCTTCCATCTACGTGCTTGTTTACATGTTCAAGAAATTACTAGAGATGTACAATGTTTCACATTAATTGTATGTATAATGATATATATGGGTTTTCAAGGGATGGAGAATGATCTTGGCCCTACACAACTGGTATAATCAACCATGTTCTTAGTTAAGGTTAGGAGTAGATGCTCAAATTATTTCATTGAAATAATTGGTGGTTTCCGTTAAAGAGCATAACAACAATCTTCCTTTTTTCTGCCTCAAAAGTTAAATCAATTTAAATCTATTCCTCTATCCTAGTTAAACTAATATTTCTCTATACAACCAAAAATCAACACGAACTAGTCCCACAAGTGGGGTATGGGGGTGTACACAGAGCTTCACCTACCTTCATGGGTAGATAGATTGTTTCCAATAGATCCTCGGTTCAAGAATAATATTTAACTCTATCCAAGTTTCTAATATCATCGATTTGTACAAGCTAATGACTTATCAGATTATCCTGTTACAATGTCTTCCCTCCACCTCTACGAAGTTAGAATCAAGAAAGATAAGTTTGGTGTTGGAAGGAGAGAAGGACATGAAACATCGGAGAGCACAATGGCTTTCTGCAGGATGTTACTCCTAAACAAAGTTAGGGAAGATACAAAATCCAAACTCCAGCAATTTACTCATTTAACTTGTACACTGGAACACCCAAAGAGCATAAGATCCCACAATGATAAACCCCAAACCGAGCAACCGACTAAATCACAAAGAGGAGTGTACATTACAACTGCTTTATTGCAAAACTTGTAAAGCAGTCTGTAGATGGGTACCTTGCCCAACTGCAGACTACAACAGCCGAGCCTATTAGCATACTTAAAACTTTCTTTGGATAAAAAGTTACTCCCCTAAGCATACGCAAACAGGTACCTATCTCACAGTTCAGTGAAACAAAAAAATGTAGGTTCAGAATATATGACATGTAAACACATTGCTTTCCCCTCTAAATTCTCCACGGCAAAATTCAAAGCACTAAATTCTAAAAGCAAATTGAATTTCCCTATGCTCAGCAACAAATAAGAAAACTAGTTAGAATAGAAGCAACAAAGAGAAATCATCAAAAGACATTTCTTTTCGATTCTAATATACAAATTACATTCAGACGGGAGTATTATTGCTAAACATCTCCAAAAAAAATGCAAAAACTTATTAATGTTACAACAATCAACTCCTATTTCCTCGATACGAAAATGAAGTCTAAAAATTCCACTCAAAACAGAAGTTAAAGTTGTTCAGACCTCACCAGTTGGGAGCTAAAATTGGTGAATATTTCACTTGCTCTTGACACTGACACCTTCCTTCCCAGCAATGATAACAGCAGTGGTCATATCCAAGAACAATCCATGCTCCACCACCCCTTCGAAAGACGCAATCTCCTTCCCAGCAGCAGCAGAATCCCTAATAGGAGTCTTGAAATACAAATCCACAATATAATTCGAGTTATCGGTCACATATGGCTTCCCATTACCATCCAATCTCAACTTTGCATCAACACCCTCTTCCTTAAACAATTCCTGTAACCTAACCAAATTGTACTTCCAACAAAACTGCACGACCTCAACCGGCATAGCCAACCCGGATCCACCAAGACCCGAAACAAGCTTCGAATCATCGACCACAACAACAAACTTATCAGACGCGGCCTCCACCATCTTCTCCCTTAAAAGAGCTCCTCCTCGACCCTTGACTAGGTCGAGATTCGGGTCGACCTCATCAGCACCATCAATAGCAAGATCAATATGTGGGTGGTCGTCAAGTGTAGATAACGGGATGTTAAGCGACAAAGCTTGTTCTTCAGTACGCTTTGAAGTGGGAACTCCTACAATGTTCGTGAGTTGGCCCGATGAAAGAAGCTCACCCAATTTAGCGACAACGAAAGCTGCTGTTGACCCAGTGCCTAAACCAAGGACCATTCCACTTTTGACATACTCAACGGCCTTATCGGCTGCTAGTTTCTTAAGTTCATCTTGGGTTAAAGGTGAAGGAACGGGTGCAGAGAAGGCTTTAATTGAAGGGGTTGTGGAGCGAATGCGGATAGTGGGGTTGCGCAAGAAGATGGAAGGAAGACGGGTGCCAATAATGGAACTGTGACGGAGAGTAGAAGAAGAAGAAGAAGAAGGAGAGTGAGGTGAGATTAGGGATAACGAAGCCATGGGGGGTGATGAATTTTTTGGTCGATCCTTTCTTGGTTTTGTTTGGTCTTGGCCTAAAAATTAAAATAAGGACATAGGTGGGAGTGGGTGGTGAATGGTTGGTGATGATGAGGATGGAAATTGAAAGGATATCCCTAAAGTTTGATACAACTACTTTTTAAATAGCAAATTATTATTATTATTGCTTTTGGAGAATCAATATATTTAAGGAAAGGTGTCAAGATGCGAATCAACAATAATAATTTTCTACTTCCAAATAATTAGATTTCTACGTCCAGATTTGTTGCATGTATCAAACCACAATCTATAATCCATCCCATAATACTCGATGGTAGGGAAAATAATACCTCAGTATTTATAAAAAAAATTGTTTCTGATTTCACAAAATTTAAATTTTAGAACAATTAAGTGTTCACATGACCTCAAATTGATTGACGATCCTAAATTCTGCTTAAGCATCAATTTCGAAAGCCAAATTAAACTCTGAAAAAACTACTCTTCAGGCTAGACTCAAAAGTTGTGCAAAACAATGAGAAGTGAATAAAGTAGGAATGATCTCAACCATGAAATGCAAATGATGTACTGCTACCGTATACTTTAGAGAGATATTTTCAAGCATCTAAGTTCAATTTTGATCAACAGCCAAAGATCCACCATCTTGCCTAATTTTAATTTAACAAGAAAAGCATCAATTCAAACTTACCACTCGAGATATACTCAAAGGTATTTATGGGAAATGCTTCCAGCATGGTTAGAATATTCTTCTTGTTAAAACCAGACAGATCATTGAGCAGCTAATGAGGGCAAGGGATAAATAAAAGCGTAGCAACCATCACTCCACAACCTAGAATTTACACTAATTAGGTAGTGAATCGTGGGTGTAACATATTGCATCGAACAAAGCAGCGACAGCTCACACTGTAATTTGGTATATCCAGTGTATCAAGTTTCCAATTACTTCTGTCGTAAACTACAGAAGTTAAAAAGAAAACAAAATTCTTAAAATGATGAACAATTATAATGATCTTTTGCAGGATCAGTGGTCCTCAATCTTCTTCAAGCCTTTCATATCTGTTGTTTCCACCCTGCAGGAGAAAGAAATATCATCAGACATGTTCAAACTCATAATAGCCCTTTCGTGACACTCTCAAGCTTAGCAAAGAGCCATGCGCCCATGCCCCATATCTAGGAAACCAAATTCTCTGGGTCAGTTGACCACAGAACCTACCTAAAATAATTGGCAACAATTAAGCAAGACTTTGGACGAGGTAATTTCTTCATAGTGATCCAGGAATCACTACTTTAGCCTCTACAAGTAATTTCTCTCTCTTCATAATGCTATGTGTGCGAAGGAATGATTTTGCTTGAAATAGGATTTGAGGATAGAGGGCATCTGACATCCAGTGTCAAGTGAAAGGTAAAGGACAGATCTTTTTTTGGGGGAAGATTATAGAATTGCACACATTTTTATTAGGTTAAACACAGTTATTTTTAGAATGATATGAAAAGACGAGTTAGTTTTAGAAACCTAAAAGGGGCCAAAGTTTATTGATGTATATTTAATTTAGTTTATCGAAAGGATGAACTACTATGAAAGAGCATCTAGAACACAGAAACACAAAATCTTCCAATCGGGTCATGAGTGGGAATATCATGTGTTATTTAGGGGCTACAACTACTGAAAACATATGATCTAAAAGTCCTTTCCTCTGCAATGTCAAGGTATAATAAACGAGCTCTGACAACAGGAAGCTTAAACTTCTCCAACATAGAGGTAGGATTAATCTTGGCAAGTATATTTAAGTGGCTATAGCTATTAAAATTTCAGCTTCTCCAAATGTGTCTTTTAAGCTAATAAACTTTTAAAGGAAACAATTTCATATACATGTACATGCACTTCCACTGGATCCCACTTGTGGGATTTCACTGGGTATGTTGTTGTACATGCACTTACCTAATGAAGGAATTCCTTTTCTTTGATCCTTCTAAAATTTCACCAAACAATTTGTTCAGCTGTGATAAAAAAAGTAATGAAGAAACTTTGTTTAACAGTTCTTTGTAGCACTCATTGTCTGCTGAGGGGGACGTAGTCCCCTTCACTTCAGTAATTCCATCTTTTGGTAACATTAACTTAAGGAGAGCATGGTCAGGCCATTTGAATATCGCACAGTCTCATGTTTTTCTGAGTATAAAGTTTTAACTGTTCTTTTTTCCGTTAAGTTATATGTTTAAACAGTTCCAGACGTAAACATGGAACACTAAACAAAAGGAACTTAAGTACACATTAAAGAAATTGCTAACAACAAAAGAAGCAAAAGATAGTTTCATGCAAAAGGAATGAGGTTATAAGAATTAAGAAACTTACGTTGATCCATACAAAACAATTTTTTGAACATTTGTAGTTTCCCCATCATGTTGATTATCCTCAATAAAAATGGTCACACTGGTTCAATAACAGTAAAAAAGATTAGTGTCCATCTTAGAAATGACTTGTAAAAGTTGAAGCTCGTGAATATTAGCATACCTGCGAACATTTTGAAACTTGACATACTTCAAGGTAACTGGTTTTCCCTGCAATTAATCAACAAGACATTTCAAGGATGAACATCCAGGGAAACTAAAGATTTCTATAAGCAAACATCATTTAGTTAAACTTAAACGCAAAGCCAAGAAGCATATTTCCTGTATTATCAGGATTGACTAACCTTGAGGTTATCTTCAGATAAAACAACTGTGTCACTTGGAGGGTAATCATTAACATTACTGCAGAGATGTTCCCAATCAGCAAATACATATAGCAGATGTGAAAATTCTCCCACATAATGTTCAGTCTAGAAAAGGTCAAAAAGAAATGAAACTTCAAAAGTTACCTAAATCCCATGTGCTCCTTGTTAGAAAACAGCTTCACAGTTTTAGGACCTTCAAAGAGACAAATCTGTGTTACGGTATCATGCATCTATGGTGGGGTACAGAAGAAGCACTTGACAAGTGCACCAAGGAGGCAATAAAATATTACCTTATCACAAAAAAACGAATTAACAGAGCACAAAAGGATGATTCCTTAGGGAAAAAATAGCAGGTGCAATAACAAATTGAAGACACCAAGCAAAATAAGTATACCAGGAAAGATTACAGAGACGACATTCAAAAACAGCATTATAACCGCAGCTTAACTTAGAAAACTCAAGATGGAACACATAATCCCCAGCTCTCTAAACTGTACAACTGTTTGATACATTACTTTGGCCTGATGCCTATAGTAACATCTAAAGGGGAGCATAGCAGTTGGTGCAACTCCTCTGGTGAAGCCTGTCAAAACTTTCTTCGCCAATAGTCCCTCTGACTACCCAACTAACAACAACATAAACTGGTCAAAAAAGTCATTTGTACCAACTTAGAAGCCATCCCTGTTATGCCCCCTCCCCCCTCTAGCTTTCTCATGCTTTATGCATAGTTTGGATTAAGTTCCAACAAAAGTTTATTGATGTATGCAGTCATGTCCCTGTTAACTAGTTGAAACAATATATGCTCTTACATAATTTACCTACTTATCTGTAATATACAGAGAGGCCAGAGTAAGAACTCATTTATCTTAAACAGCAGGAGTACCAAGGTAACTCTTCCATAATGTTGCCTCGTGAGAGTATTATTACATCCACCAAAGAGGACTACTTCTACCAATCAAAAAAAAAAAGATGAAATGAAGGATTATGTAGAGACTTCTCTCATCACAATGATAAAAAAAGATGTAGGAGAAACTTGAGAACACCTAGTTATGCATCAACAATTTTTTGAGAAAGCTTAGTTGTGCGTTAACAAATCTCAGAAGCCAACACCAAAGCAGAAATTGCAAGAGATAAAACTAAGGTTCTTGTGTACGCAGCAAAAGATTACTAGGGGTAGAAAGAGACACCACAAATCTATTAGCTACCTTCCTCCTCAGGTCCTTTGATAACGATTGAATGCAGTTTGATGACTTGATTAAAAGGTATGTAAATCAATAGCTGTTCATCTGCATCACTCACCAGGTTCAAGCCCTCGTCTTCTCTGTAACCCTGATTTAAATTCAAATAAAGCCAACACAATTACTGAAACTGCAAGCAGAAGTAGACGATTATAAAACAAGTGAACTGACATTGAAGCTTACAATTCGAAAAAAGAATCCCAAAAAGTAGCATGGTCACGGGTAAAAAGGTAGTAACAGGTTTCCCAAAGGAGTTGGTTGGTCATCAATTAAGAGCAAAGAAGTCAGATTTCATCTTCCATTGGTCTTAGGATACATCATATTGACCCATCCTACTAATTCAAAACACTTTTCCCCTATCACGTGCTATTCCTGATTCAGCGAGAACGAAGTGACCAAGATTCCTAAAGAAGTCCCTTAACAATATATATTGAAAAGATTAATGCTTGGCTCTGTGCTCAATGAGCACATACAGCTCCAAATTCTTGACTTTATGTCGGTTATAAATAAGAATTAACCAGCGCAAGACCTTCCATTAGTCTGTCATCTCACATCATCACTGAAGAGTAAGGATGCAAAAGCCTATGATTGTGATATACATGAGTACACTGGACCCAATCCTTTGTCAGGTATAAATGGAACAGAAAAGAACATGGTAAAAGGATATGTCAGAGTTCGATACAAGTTGTGGATATCTCAAACTAAGGGAGAGAAAATAAGAGATTAGGGGATAAGACATGATAATCAAGACATTTAAAAATTGATAGGTGAGGCATAAATTGAAGGCAGAAAGATGAACTTCCAGTATCTGTTGAACCTCTCATTACCATGAGACATCTTTAAGATTCTTTCTTCCATTTTTTAAAAAATGTGCTTCCATTCCAAATTGTCCATAAAGGACTTAGCAAACTAGCTTTCCATGTTGCTTTAATAAGTTACTGTATTTCCTAACCATCCAACTTGCAACGGCTTTTTCCCAAAGGATGTCTAATAAAGAAAATCCCACAATCCAAAAGATAAGTAGTCATTCTCTAATGAAACAGAAAGTGACCTACATCTTCATTGTTCTCTTTACAGCTAATTATGCACTAACAACACCAAGATGCTATTAACCAATTCCTTCTTCTAAGAATGTCTCCCTTGAGATTTCCATTTCGGTCAGTGAAACATGTGGAAAAGAAAATTATTGTCCCCATCCACCACCACCCGGAGAAATACTCTCTCTGCCCACTTAGCCTCCATTTAAAAAATTTAATCACCCATTACCATGACTATTTCTACTAACCCCCACTCCCACCAACGCACCAATCCAAACGTCTAAGCCCTTCCCAAATGCACATTGATAATGCATTCTCCCTACACCCAGTCACCCACCTATCAGCTCCAAATTTAAAAGTATTGTGCCTCGGATCATGTTACTTTGTATGCTGGAAGTCACTTCGATCCACAAATCCTCTGATTGGAAGCTCGAAAAATGGACATCTCGCTACAGCACTTGGACCAGGTATCTTTAAGCTTCAGAAGAAACTACCTCACAAGTTCAGAGCAAACTAGCAGTGAGAGCTTTTGTGATGCACAAATACGGTTTTGTCTGGACTTCATTGGACCACTATACCGAACAAGAACATTATCAACATCACCTATTCCTTTCTTATTTACTTACTATTTTACTAAAAATTTCAAATTCAAAGTAAAATTATCAAAACAAAAAGCCTTGCACAAACAACCCTAATTTTAACAAGTTAAACATTTTCTTCACCTGTTTGAGGGCATTGACAATAGTGTTGCTGCCACTTTGGTTAAGGCATTCGACGCCAGACCAGTCTACAAAGTCCATCAAATCAACCTGTTCATCACCAACAACTCCAACAGTTTCAAAAATTTAAGAAATACAAAAACAGAAAAATTGGCGTATAAAACGAGAATCTAACGATCTCTGATACAACTAAATCATACTTGGCCTTTGGGAATTGCAAAAGCAGATTCGGCAGCCATGGTTGACGGAAGTTGTACGCTACAGTTCTTGTCTTGAGAGAGAAATATTTAGAGAAAGGGAAGAATCCTCGAGAAAATGAGAAGTGTTTCTGCGCTTTTATAGGGCAAGAGAACGAAAAATTACGAATATTTTTTTTAAAAAAAAATACCTCTTTATCTAGATAAATTTTGAAGTTTATGATTATCAAACTTAACGTTAAGATTAATAAATTTATATTGTATTTGGAATTTAAATTTTAGGTATAGTAGAATCTGAATTATATTTAACTATGTTTAATTGCAAAATATGTATATTTGAAGTCCAAAAATATTTATTAAAAAGTATGAAATTGAAGATTTAAAAATTTAATTTTAAATTTCAAATATTAAAATTCAATTAAAAGAGTAACATCATAAATAAAAAGAGAGGCTAGTTAGAGTAGCATAACGACTTTCCATATACTTAATAGTGTCATATTTCGAATTAGCTGTACTAATTAATTACTCAAATTGTGTTGCATCACCATAATATCATAGCATTAGTAATATATCAAACTATTTTTACTTCTTATAGCAAGACAATAAAGGAAAAGATCAAAATTAACAAATTCAATCAAAGAGTGGATGATTACAATACGTCGATCGGATCACTCTCAACATATAAGATAAAATTGAGGAGCAAGTCGATTGCAAAAAAAAAAAAACATAATATACGATTTTGTCATAAATAAAAATTTAGATATTTTATTAAAATGAAACATATAAATATATTTTTTAATTAAATAGAATTGTTCAAAGACAATGCCTGGTACTATTCTTATGAAAGTGGGAATTGTCTCATCATCTATGTTGATGGTATTCTTCATATAATTATTTTCTGAGACTATTTTATGATTTTATCATACTCTATGATAATGATGTGACCTTTTGAGTTTCTCCTGTCAATAACATGCAACTCCACAAACGTAACCTTCACACTTAATCAAGTATTTCAATCAATGCACTTACCTTTGAATATTGACACGTTTTTCCCTTGATCATAATTTTTTCATTCTTGTGGTTACATTAATTGTTTATAGTTTTCCCTTGATCATAATCTTTCCTTTCTTGTGGTTATATTAATGGTTTATAGTTTTTCTTTTTTTGTTATTTATTATGAATTTGAGAATTTACAAATCAATCATAATCATCTCACAACAATGAGGTTAGTTTAGTATGCAACATAAACTATGTTATTCAAACTCTTTCAAAAATGTCAGCGGTAGCATCAAAAGTGAAGATTGTATGCACTCTGAGATAGACAAGGGTTGTATTCCATGGGATTAACAATCACCTTCTGTATGAGATTAATACCCATAATGTGAGATAAAATAATCTCACATTTTATCCCAAAATTGTTATCCTTAACCCACCAAACAAACGACCAAAGGGTATACATCAGTCAATAGGCCAGCGATATAAGAAAAAAAGTGAAACTGAAAGGGAAAAGAAAACGAGTATGTTAAAAGGTTTGACAATTTTACATTGCCCGAAGAATGTGCATACAACAGGTGTTGATAAAATAATACAACATATCAACAGGTCAACTGGTGAAACATTGACAAAAAAATACAACATGGCAATAGGTCAAGTGGTGAAACTTCAAACTCACAGCTTGCCTTTGAAGCCTAAGCCAGAGAAAGGGGAAGTTAACAATAATATGGTTTAGGGACATTAACTGCTACCTGCAAAGAGGTCAATGCTGCCAATCTGAAACCTTGAAGTTGCATTCTTGTCTCGAACTGCTATAAACCTAAACCTGCCATTTCTAATTGTGATCAGAAATTGGATCCTATCATGAAGTAGTGAACTCTTACGAGCCTCCGACAAAACTTTACCTGAATGCATTTGACAAATAGCCGGATGAACCAACTGCAAATGCTTTTCTTTGGAAACGTTTGTCAAACATCTGGGAAGTTCGTTTATCCAAGAGATGCCAACTGGAACCTCCATTTTCACTTCCTTCTAGCACCCTAATGTAATGAATGGATAAAAGTATTCAGTCTAATATGCAATGATGGTAAGGATTTCAATTGCATACTTCCAAAAGCTGACCAAGACTTTAGCTGATTCTCTAAAATAGTCAACAATCTAAACGAGTGAGAACTTAAGTCTCACCAAAGCTTATAACAAAGACACCGGTTCTATTTTGAACTATCAGACTTGTAAACTTTGCTGGGCTAAGAAAACCAAACAATTCTATACAGAGAAATAGTTGAGGTATGAAACAAGCATCATTATCAAAAACAAAAAAGCAGCCATTCTAGTTAAACCATGCTTTCAGCAAGCAGCAGTTGCACTACTGTTACACAGCTTCGATTTCATCATACCAATTGTCCTGCTTTCACCGAAGTCAACCTTCTAGATCCTAGGACTGCTCAGAGAGGGTTACACAACTAACTCAACCTTATCCCACCAGCTTCAGTTAGTTAATCTAGCACAGTATATATTTGATTCTGTTTGGAGCCATTATAATAATTTCACCATTTCCTTTATCAAACTGTTCCTCCAAAAACTCCAAGTCTTCCTCATCGCACTTTATATTTGCTACCTTATTGTCACTCAGTTTCCATCTTTGCTTTTTTAGGGATTCTTTGAATGCCAAACCAACAACAACAACATGCCCAGTGAGATCCCAACCTTTACACCACCTCTAAATAAACTATTTCTTAAATGTCTTTTCGCCTTCTAGCTTTGGTCCACGCCTATTCCAACAATTCTTATTCCAGCTGATTCGTTACCACGACCCTTAAAAACAATTAGCCCCTTCCTTTTCTGCAATATTAAGTATACCTTCAATTTTCATTTTATATGATGAGACTTGACAGGATGTACGCAGCCGTGTAAATGCAAGGTAAGGCTGCGTACAATAGACCCTTGTTGTCTGGACCCTGCACATAGCAGGAGCTTAGTGCATTGGGCTGCAAAAAAATAATGGTACTTGACAGAACACGGTGTTCAGAATGAAAGTAACGGAAGAAAATACTTGCTTTTTTTTCTGAAGAAAATATTGAAGTATTGATTGAGTGGTTAGTTAATCATTCGTTTATATTGACAAATAGAAGAGTTGGTGATTTTACAAGATGCATAAACGCATTTCCCATTATTTAAGCATTGGAGAACCCCATGTCAACTATATAGTTGATTTTGGTCCCAAATGAATCTTATTCTGATTATCACACTTTTCAGTAATATGTTCTCATACACAGCTATACATCCCTGTTAGTCAGCTTACGTAATAACTTCTATTTATTCTAAGGTACTTTGGGCTGTTTGACTTACTTCCTATATTGCCTTAAATGATCCGGCACAGAGCCACAATTTTATAAAGAATGAATTGACATTTGTTAGATACTGTTTTCAGTTAGACAACACCAGCCCCCTTGAACAGACATTGCTACATCTGTCTCAAAAGCTGGAAACACATACAGTTACTTGCAAGATGGAAAATATTTTTTCACAACTAAACTTTGAATCCAATTTCATACCAGTCTTTTGGATCTCTCTCTGGAGCATCATTAGCAGACATTAACTCATATGCCACAAGCTCAACCATCCGGTTATCAGCTACTTGATACATGATCCAACATCCTATAAAGCAGAATACAAGTATCAGACAGAACAATAACCATAAAGAAAGAGGAAAATTGAAAATATAAATACAAAACTGTGATTATCCCTTAAAAATTCAATATGTATTTATTCATCTTCTCATCCAATATAAATGCCTTTCTTTTAATTCCTTAGTTGAGATACTTAGAGGTTGTTAGATTCGGGAACCTTCTTTATGTTCATAATTGGCGCCTGAAGGGGCGCCTTCCTTCACAAATCATCAAATTTGTAAACAACTAATGTTCTTAAACTTGTGCATTATATGTAATGAGAAGCTAGTAACATATTCAATCTAAAAATATTCATGTTGAATATACTAAACGCTGGTTGATTTCATCCTCCTCCGGTCTTAAATGTACCCACGGGGTTGGTGCATGAAGACATGGATACGAATGACAATTTTTTCACCAACTAGTAGAAAACATCCATCAGAATCAAGAATATATCTCTTTAGTACAATAATGTTCTTATAAAATATTTAGTACAGTAACGTCTAGTGGTCATCAATATGATATTTAATTATCTACACATACACCATCAAGATAGCAGTGATCTCTTTGGATTTTGGGGGCAAATTTTGGGCTTCCTAAAGGAAATAAAGACTTGCTGCAATTACTATTTGGGAACTATCCAGAAGAAGATGCATAAAGATGGTGTTGCACTATAAGCTACTAGTTATGTTAAGAAGCATTTGGGAAAGAAGAAAAGCAAAAACCCCAGGGTTTAGCTGACCATCATTCAGCAGGCACCACTACATCAAAGTTGTTATTGTAGCTCCCTTCCTCGCCCTTTAGCTCTAAACTTCACAATAACTTCATCCATGACTTACCTGATTTTCCATTTTAATGATTCTTTTCTCTTGTTTAAGGACCTCTTCAACCTAAAATGGAAAACAACTTTTTTTTGATAAATAAAGATAAATTTATTATATAGAAGCTCCAGTAGAAGGCTGGTACCGAGGGAAACTACAAAAAGTTCTGCTGGATCTGAATCCTCCAAAGCTGTAGGTATTCCAAGAAACCCAGCATTACACCACACAATCAGTAGAAATTCAGCATTACACCAAATTTCAACTGATATTTCAAATTCACTTCACATGCCACTCTAAATGGCAAGTTCGGGAGATATCTTATTGAAGGTGTCAGATGCTCACTCAATAAAGACACTTGACAGCTAAGATACTTCACAGTTAACACACCTCAGAAGAAAATGATGCCCTTGGATTTTCAATGCTTTGTAAGGTATGAAGACCTGGATGATGTTAACTTAAAAACTAGAGAAAGCATGCCCTATATTGAAGATACCAAAGCAAAAGCAACAAAATATACAACACAATATTCACCGTCAAAACAACACCATTAACTTAATGATGAACATAAAGAAGTAACACATCGAGAAGAACCAGAGAAATAACCTTACGCAGCTGACATATATGAGAAACAATGATGCTATGCCAGAGTTATATTTTTGCTTAAGCATACCT